ATGAAATGTCAGGTCTCGTACACACCATCGCATACATCAAGCTACCAGCCCCATGTGAATAAAGAACCTTTGATATGTAATCACATTCCTCTCTCGTTTTCGGATACTGTGAAGCGCTAATTTTGAAATGAGAAGCAAGTGGTGTACTCACAGGTTTGGTTTTTTCAGTCATGCCAAATCGTTATAGTACTCTCTTCAAATATTGCTTTTGGGTCAAGCACAATGTGTCTTTCTTTCTATCTCTTGTTATTTCTATGCCGAGAATCTTCTTCGCTTCACCGAGATCTTTCATTTCAAACTTCTTGTTAAGCTTCGACTTCAACCTGTTTATCTCTCCTCTATCTTTCGAAACAATTAGCATGTCATCTATATAGAGAAGAAGATAAATAAACGATCCATCAGATAGCTTACAGAAATACACACAGTGATCGAAACTGCTCTTGGTGTACTTCTGGCTAGTCATGGATTGATCAAATCGTCTGTACCACTGCCTTGGAGATTGTTTCAATCCATACAACGATTTGCTTAACTTGCATACTCAATCTTCTTTCCCAACAACTTTAAATACTTCGGGTTGAATCATACATCCATTTGAACTAGTTCAAAATAGTAGTACGCTATCAAGGCCAATAAAATACGAATAGATGAATGTTTTACAACATGAGAAAATACATCATTGTAATCAATTCCCTCCTTTTGAGCATAGTCTTTAGCTACCAATCTTGTCTTGTAGCGGACGTCATTACAATTGAGAAATCCTTATTTCTTAACATAAATCCATTTGCAACCAATTGACTTCTTTTCCTTTGGTAGATCAGCTAGCTTCCATATATGATTTGCTTAAATGGAATGCATTTCCTCGTCGATGGCTTTTTTCCATGTTTCTTTGTCAAAACAATGCATTGAATCAAGAAACATTTTTGGTATACCTTCTTCAATAATAAGAAGTGCATAGGCCACCAAACTTTGGAATCGAGCAGGTTTCTGAACTTCTCTTCTTGGCCTTCTAACTGCAATTGGTAAATCTTGTTGTTGTTGAGGTTCTTGGGTTAAATCCTCTATTTCTCTGAACTCTTCTTCGGTACAAGAATCATCATCGTCATTTGGTTGATCATCTATAAGTTTGATCGTAGATACCTAGAACTTCACCTCTTTGAAAGAACACTCCACCTCTTTTTCGGTATTCTCTATCTGCTGCTTGGTTACTTTCTTTAGCTTTTCTGATTCGTTTAAAATAACATCCCTGCTAAAGATTTTTTTTTTTTTTCATTTTTGGGCACCATAAGCGATATCATTTTACGTCAGATGATATCCCTATAAAGATAGCTTTTCTAGCCATCGGATCCAACTTTGATTTTTTTTACGTGATAATATGCAATAGATCTAAATACACATAAAGAATCATAATTATTAGCAGATTTTCCAAACCATACCTCTAAAGGTGTCTTTCCCTTAAGCGCACCTGATGGAAGTCGATTGATCAAATGGCTTGCATATGTGACCGCTACAGTCCATAATTAATTGCCCTAATTAGCATTGGACATCATACACCGAACTTTCTCTAGCAAGGTCCGGTTCATACGCTCGGCCATCCCATTTTGTTGTGGCGTGTCCCGTACTGTAAAATGTCGGAAGGTGTCTTCATTTTTGCGAATATCGAAAAAAATGGTCATTTCAATATTATGTACCATTGTCAGATTGAAGAACTTTAATTTTCTTTTTGGTCTGGTTCTCCATCTTTTCTTCCAATCGAGGAATTTGCCGAAAGCTTCGTCTTTAATTCACATGCGATATACCCATATTTTCCTGGATAAATTATCAACAAACGTTATAAAATAATGGTTTCCTCCCAAAGAAGTTGTCTTGGTTGGTCCCCGCACATTTGAGTGAATGTAATCCATAATGTCTTTAGTGTTATGGATTGTTGTTCCAAATTTCACTCGTGTTTGCTTTCTCATAACACAATGCTCACAAAAATCAAGTTTGCATGTCTTTGCACCTTTTAATAATCTTTACTTTGCTAAAGTTTGTAAGGATTTTTCCCCAGCATGCCCAAGTCTCATGTGTCGGAGCTTGGTCATCTCATTTTCTTTATTTGATTTTGATACCACTGCTGCTACGCCAGCCACTATGTTTCCTTGAAAATTATACAAGTTATTTTTTCTTATATCTTTCATGAGAACAAGTGCTCTTGAGATCACTTCCAGAATTCCATTATGAATGCTGATATAATTGCGGTTAGATTCTAAAACTCCAAGTGATAAAAAATTTTTTACGAATTTTGGTATGTACCGAACTTATGTAAGCACTTTAATTGTTCCATTGTGGTTCTTCAAATAGATTGAACCAACTTCAGTTATCTGGAAAGGTTGGTTGTCAACTAGGTAGACAACTCGACTGTCCATGTTTTCAAAATTGATAAACCACTCCTTCCTGAAACACATGTGAAATGAGCATCATGAGTCCAACAACCAGTCATCACTGCAAATCACCAATGAGGTACAGGCTAATGAATAATCTGATTCATTATTATCAGCAAAACATTCTTCAGCTACTGCTTTCCTCTTTTTCTTTTGTAATTTAGGACAATATTTCTTCTAGTGTCATTTCTCGTGGCAAAAGACACATTTATCTTTTGTTATTCTGCCTCTTGACTGGGATCTGTTTTTTCTCGCCAACTTATGACTCCTGACATAATGGGCTTCACCAATCGAACTCCTGTGTTCTAACTTATCTTTCTTCCTAATTTCGTTAGAATACGAAAAAGTAGTAATTTCCTAAAGAAAATTGTTTCTTTTCCGATCAGCATGCTAACAATTATATGTTCATATTCATCAGGAAGTGAAGCTAGCAAAATCAATGCCTTATCAATATCATTTATCTTCTCATCCAGATTCAACAAATCAATAACTAGATAATCAAATCTAGTTATGTGTTCGTTCATGGTGGTACCTGGCAAATATTGGAAGCGATACAAGTTCATCTTCATGTAGAGCTTGTTTTTTGTGCTCTTTTTACGGTTTTTCCTCCATTTTCTTCCATAATTTTGCGCCATCGTCTCTCTCATAAATGGATACTTATGTTCCTTGTAGAGACATAGTCGGATTATACAACACGCTAGGCGGTTGATCATCGTCCAGTCTTTATCATCAACCTCATCCGGTTTGTTCTATGTGAATGCTTCATCCAACTCTTGTTGAAACAAGATGTTCAACACCTCGCATTGCCACATACCAAAATTATTAGTACCTTCAAGTTTTTCGACGTCAAATTTGGCATTTGTGACCATCGTTCTTGATGGCGACGTCATCAACGACTTCGAACCTGAAGTTGATGTTTCACCGAACTTTTCCGTCATTCCTACTCCATAGTTTGATTAAAAAAAAATACACAATAAACAAAGACAGCTTAACCGAGATGCTTTTATGATGTGAAAGATCAGATTAACTGCAACCACATAGCATACGAAGCAACCAAGACTCTGATACCAATTGTTGCGAAAAAAACACGTTAGCCCCACACGAGTGGCGAAATATCATACCCAACCTAATACCAAAGAAAATTGTCAGGTAATTGGAAGAGACATGAGGCTCACTTAAAATCCAATTTTCTTAGACACATTATAGTCTTTCTGACACAATTTCTCCAGCAAAATTAAAGTACTTTAAATAACTGCAAAATAAAATAAAACACCATAGCAAAAATAAAGAACACCAAATTTAACTAAGTTCGGTAAAATTATGCCTAATTCCTTGGACCTCAACCAAAATAATATTATAAAAAAGAGATAAAAAATACAACGCAATTAAAAAAAAAAAAATTGTATTGTAAGATACCTCAAACCAATTCCAGGAGGGTGAATTTATAGAAAGAATCCACCCATAATTTATAATCAAAACCTATGTGGGATAGATGGAGCCGACAAATGTTGACTATTCAATAGTATCCAACAACACAATTCCATTTTCAATTTTATTAGTTTTTTCTTTATTTTCTTATATTTTATTTCCTTTGTTATTTTTTTTGGCAAGTTTATTCGTTTTATATTGAATTCTGCATGTATTTTACAATATATTCTTTTTCAAATTTAATGAAGTTTTAATTTTAAGCTTTTTTTTTCCTTTTTGTTTCTTTTAGAATTTTTTCTATTAGTTCATTTTTCGACATTTTTCGACAGACACGAAACATTCACACAGAGACATTACGAAGTACCTTATAAGACTTTGATCTATTTTTCACTTATTTTTCTAGATTGTTATGAAATTAAATATATTTGAATTTTAAAATGCAATAAACTATTAGAAAAAACCGTAACATCTGTGATTTGAAAATTTTATACTATTCTCTATCTTTATTTACAAATTCCATAAAAGTTCCTCATATTTTAAAAAAATATTACATAAAATATCTTTTTAGAGGTTTTTGTTTAATATTTTTAAATTATGAAAAATTTATGTAATTTTTAGAAAATTATGTGTAATATTTTATAAAACATGAGGAACCCGTGTAATTTCTAATTAATGAGATGGATTGTGCAAACTTTTCAAACTACAAATCAGTTATAAATAATTTTTCCAAAATATTATAACAAATATTTGTTTTCTTTGATGAAATATTACATATATACATTTTATTCCTTCCCTTCCACACTAATATGTTTGTTTAATCATTTGAGACAAATAATCTCAAGACCATAAAATCATACCGATCATCTTAAAACTATTTTATTTTTTTTATTAAACAAATATTCATTTTTACATTTAAATTAAAATATATTTTATGTGACAAAAAAACCATTATATTTTACCATCATTTTCTTTTCTCAATATCATGTGCAAAAAAAAAAAAATAGAAAATCTTTTTTTTTTTTTTACGTTGAATGTAGTAATTTATAAAAAATTCATAAAATTCGAAAATAAAGAATCTTTTTATCTAAACAAAGCATATTTACTACCAGTCTACCACAATCATGCTATCACAAATTACATATAATCTCATTACTCACTTTCCATTGCACATCGAATACATACATATATATATATATGCTATATATATATACACACACCACCATAAGTTAGTGCACTCAAATCATCAGCACTCAAAACCCCACTTCATCTTCTACTTCAAAATTCCCACTTTCCAATATATATGTCCCAATAAAACAGCAGTAGTGGTAGAGGAGTTTAAGAGATGTCTGCAGTGAGACAATACTCAGATCAAATGATGATTCCGATTCCCAATTCAATAATTCTGCCAAGAAGCAGCAGCTGCAATAGCACCACTAAAATCATTCCGCCCAACTACGCCAGCTCTACGGCGTCGTTTCGTTCCCCTCAAGATCAATATCCGCCGGAGGACGACCACTTCCGCCGCCGCCGCCGCTCCATCGTCCCCAGCAGCGCCGCCAAAGATCGGATTAACGGTACATTCTCCAATTTCCTTCGATCGATCCTCTCCATCTTCACTTTTCCTTCCATTCTCCCCGCCTGCCGGTGGCTCGGCATTAATCCGGCGACGGCGCAGCTTTCTATCGGCGGCGGCGGCCGCTCCCTCGGCCGGAAAGTCACCGGCACTTTGTTCGGCCACCGCCGCGGCCATGTTAGCTTCGCCGTGCAGGATGACCCGAGATCCCCGCCGGTTTTCGTGATCGAGCTGGCGGTGTCGACGGCGGCGCTGGTGAAGGAGATGTCGTCCGGGCTGGTGAGGATAGCCCTGGAGTGCGAAAAGCCGGCGCCGCCGGGTCGCGGCGGAAGGGCGGCGGCGGCGGCGGTGAGGTTGTTCGGGGAGCCGGTTTGGTCGATGTACTGCAACGGCAGGAAGTGCGGGTACGCGCTGGCGAGAGCGTGCACCGGATCGGACTGGCACGTGCTGAGCACGTGCCAGAGCGTGTCCGTCGGGGCGGGGGTGATTCCGGTGGTGGACGACGGAGGGAAGGGCGGCGCGTGGGAGGGTGAGTTGCTTTATATGAGGGCCCGATTCGAGCGAGTCGTGGGGAATCGTGACTCGGAAGCTTTCTATATGCTCAACCCGGACGGCAATGGCGGACCCGACCTCAGTATTTTCTTGCTTAGAATTTAATTAATATATTTTTATTTTTTATTTTTTATTTTTATTAAAGGTAGAAAAGTGAATATTTTATTATGTTGCTTTTGGTTTTATATTTGTTGATTAAGCTTAGTGGCTTGTGAATGATCGATCATTTCAACTTTTGTATTTTTTTTGGTAGATGGTTAATGCAATTTGAATTTTTCGTTTTAAAGTTAGACTAAAATTAGATTACAAGAGTTTGAATAGCTGAATTTACATGATCACAAGTTTGAAATCGTATCAATGTCTTCTCATTTAAATTTGTCACCTCTCACAATACTCATTGGAAGAATAAAAGCAAACAACCAAAAAGCTTCTAACATGTTCAACCTTCCAAATTTGCTTCTATCATAATAACCATTCTCACTGTTCTATCTCTCAAATCCAATGGGATAACATCTTACAATTTGATCTAAAAGAGTTTGAAATTATTGTCACGTTTTTAAATAAATAAGCATATTTGAGTTTATATTTTTATTTAAAGAAGATTAGGAGGCATATAAAGGTTTTTAATTCCATATCCGTCCATTACTAAATTTTTTATTTAATTTTTGCAAGCGGGTTAAAATAAATTAGTATTTTATAAATATATAATATAATAAAATAATATAATATTCATTTTACTTTTGAAAAGTAAAAAATAAAAATATTTTGATATTTAGTTAAAAATTATTTTTTCAAAAAAGAAAAATTAAAAAAATTTCGTTTGAACAAACTAAAATGACAAATAAAAAATTTACCATGGATGAAATATATATACATAAACTCATGGTTATGAGTTTACTTCTACTACTAAATCATCTTGCAAAAGGATTCTTTTACATTTTTGAATGGATGATATAAAACAAATGCGGATACAAGATTTATTATTGAAATATACTCCTTCTATTTTAACTCAATATCCGTTTTTATTTCTTATAATGAATTTAAAAAAATAATATTTTATTGATCAGTAAAAGTATTTAAAATAATTTTTGATATTTTTTATATTGCAAATATAAAAGAAATGAATAGTTTTTTAAAATTTCTGAGTATTTTGAATTTTTTATATTAATTATTTTATTATAATAAAGAAATTGAGTCTTATGAGTAAGATCTAGACAAAAATAATAATTTTAATTGAGACGAGAAAATATGTCTAAAATTATAGACTTTCGTATACATAACAATTTTATAATTTGGGCATTATTTAATTTTCATAAAACACTACATTAAATACTATTTATTATACTTTTGTTTTAATTCCAAAAGTCCTAGGTGTGTGTTTGTTTATAGGATGATGGGTTTGAGTTTTACTATTTTAATTTTATTTTTTTATAAAATAATATCAAATTATACATCGATTTTTTATTTATGATATTAAATTAAAATTTAATTTTACATTAATTAAAAAAACATGGATCAACTATTTCGATTTAGAATTTTAGTATTTAGAACTCGAATTTAAGAAGCAAAACCCTACAGACAAACGAAGCCATAATCTTAGTTGGTGGGCACATTAAATTAAGACATTGGAAAAAGTGTCACGTATGAGACGACTAATTAATTGGACTGATCATTTCAATCATTAATATTCTTAACAACAAGTGAACAAAATTGACTAAGCAACATAATAATAATAATAATAATAATAATAATAATAATAATAATAATAATGTAAAATTGCTTATAATTTTCACGTGATTTTAAAATTCAGCTTAAAATCTCCTTATACTTTAAAAATTGCATGGTACCCTCTTATATTTTAAAAAAACGTTGAATGAAACCCCACCACCATGAAACCTCTCGTGTGATAAGAAGATGATTTCCTATTTATATGTTTTACATGGCATGAGGATTTTATACAATATTTTTTAAAATATAAGTGAGAACCATGCAATTTTTTAAAATAAAATGGGAATTTATACTGAGTTTCGAAACCAAAAAGTGGTTTCATACAATATTTTTTAAAGTATAAGGAGATGTCATGCAATTTTTAAAGTAGATGGAGAATTTACGCTGAGTTTCGAAACCACAAAGGAGTTATGAGCAATTTTGCCTAATAATAATAATAATAATAAGTAATATTGAGATGGGATATACTAAAATAATTGTACAATAATTGGGTGTAAGTGTGACAGACTTGTATTTATGTATGCAAATAATTTAGACTACTACAAAAATGTTAATTAATTAATTTTAGAGACAGAGAAGAGAAGACATGTATACGTGTGTGTGTTGGGCATGCATGTGTGTGTTGGTGATCAGATATTTTTGGATATTTTCAACACATCTTTTACTCCGAGTCATTATCTCTTGCAAATGACAGACAGATCGATCCATACCTATTATTAATTAAAATATAATATGTAAGATTAGTTACTAATTAATATATAATATTAGACAAACGCGGATCTAGAAATTTCTTTTACGGATGCCACAATAAATAAATTGTTAAAATAATAATATTAATATTAATAAAATTAAATTATTATTGATAATATATCAATTCAATACTTCCACTATCTCAAAAGAAACGTCTTAGGGTGTGTTTATATGGGGTTTTGGATTTTGAGTTGAGATTTGAATAGTAAAAATTTTGAATTTGAATAGTTGTATGATGTGATATAAATAAGTGTTGATGTGATGTTTTGAATGTAAAATGATTTTTAGTATAATATAAAAAATGAAAAATAAGTGTTTGATTTGATGTTTTTTTGGGAAAAAAATTGAATGAATAGTATAAATCCAATCCAATTCCCCAAACAAACACGTGAATTAAGAAATAATAGTCCTTACTTTTTGAAGGATTTAAAAATTATGTTAGAGTAATAATTAGAGATAGTTTGGAAAAGTAAGAATAATTTTATTATACAGTGAGGACCACAGTTACTAAATAAAGAAATAAGACAATTATTTTGAGACGGACGAAAATGAAAAAACAAGACAACTCTTTTGGAACGGAGGGATATTATTTTTGTATTTTTATTTTTGAAAATATAAATTGATCATTTTAATATTTTAAATTTCAAATAATCCACCTAAATTTTGAATTAGGATGCAATTCTAACGGTGTGTTTCTTTTTTATGAGTTTGGAAAAAATTTGGTTTGAATTTGGTATGAAAATAATGTTTGATGGGATGTTTTGTGAGAGGAAAAAAATATATTTTTTTTGAGAAACAAAAAGTCCAAATAGTAAAATTCAGGGGAACTATGGTAAAGAAACGAACCCTAAATTTTAAGTGAGACATTATAAATTTTTTTAATAATAGCACAATTATTAAATTATAAAATAAATATTTTATTTAATAAAATTACTGGTGGCACGTGTCACCACTAGTTTACGTATAAATCCGCACATGTGATAAGGATGTGTTTGTTTGGGAGTTTGGATTTTGAGTTAAAATTTGAATAATAAAAATTTTATATTTGAATAGTTGTATGATGTGATATAAATAGGTGTTGATGTGATGTTTTGAATATAAAATTGATTTTTAGTATAATATAAAAAATAAAAAATAATTGTTTAATTTGATTTTTTTTTAGGAAAAAATAGACTGAATAGTGTATTTAAAATCCAATCGCCAAACAAACACATCCTTACACAATGCATGTTAGTGTGTTAAATACAAAAAGGGTTTCAAATGGTAAACATGCACTACAAAAAAAATATCAATTTTGTAACAAGATTTTTTCGTTGTTAAATTAATTTTTTCCGTTACTAATGATATTAGAGACGGAATTAAAGATGAAATTACGTTAGCTATATGAACTTTATGACGAAATTTCGTTACAAATATACTATTTTTATTTTTATTTTTGTAGCGATGTTGGAAGCTTAGATCGGGTATATATATGATTAAGATATTTATTTATTATTATAAATAGTTAATATATTTATATGTATGTGTGTGTGACAGGTAATTAATCCCATCCTTATTGTTTAACATTTGATTTATTTAATTGTCTTAAAAATATCTAAAATACTTATATTAGTATTTTAGTAGTGGTAAGATATTTACAAGACGTGGCTCAATCGAGTTCAATAACTAACTAGGTTTACTATATTATATTAGACAATGCAACTTTAGGTGTACCTGGATTTTCTTGTCGGACACCAATAAACATTTTAATAATATGAATTATTCATGATATGGTAAAATAATAATAATAATAAAATAAAAATAAAAAATTAAGCTTTTTTTTTATATATAATATTTGTTTTTTATATAAATATATTCAATATATAGTTGAATACATATTTTTATGATTAACTCTATTTTATTCATCGATTAAGTTTCAAGATATGCACTACTTGATTTTATATACTTTATCAATTCGATTCTACGGGTTTCATTTATCTTTTGTGCTATTATATTTAATATTAATTTTTTTTTTGTTTGTATAATTTTTTTTTATATAAATATCACTACAATAGTATTATAAGACACCATGTACTACGTTTTTATATAATAATTAATATTCAAATATCAACACGCAAAAAATAAATGAGACATATTTAATACTATAATTCAAAGAATTTTAATTCAAGATGGCAGCATGTTGACAATTCGTGAAATATATATATTGACAATATATTAAATATAAATTAATAATACTACAATATTTATGTTAATAATATAAAATAAATGTAATGTATGAATTAATAAAATATGTCGATAGTTTACATATTAAATACCACCATTTAACCTAATAAAAATGTATATTCATACAAGTATATATAAATTGTAAACATAAAATTTTAGAAAATATTTAAAACTGCAACAATTTATTATAAAACATATTTGAATATGTAATATGTAATTAATTTGAAGGCAATTTTAAAATGTCAGTGTTGTCTAAATAAAAAAATGACCTAGTCTAGTCAATAGCTGAGGGAGAAGAGGTTGAAGGGTGGTGTACCCTCCAACTAATTTAATTTTTTTTCATAATATATATATATGATTTTAAAATTTTGAGTAACCTATTACTTTAATAAAAAAATTATTATTATAAATGCATTTAAATATATTATTTAACTTTGATCAAAATATTTAAAATATATATATTTTAAAAAAATTATATCAAAATATTATTTAAATTATAATTTAAATAAACAAATCAATCTCAAATAAAAATCAAACAAACATTCAACTCAGGACGCCATTGGCGGTCGACGTTCTTC